TTTTTTTTTTTTTTTTTTTTTTTTTTTTTTTTTTTTTTTTTTTTTTTTTATGAGTTTATTAGGTTAAATTTCGTGATAATTTAGATTCAACGAATGTGTTTAAATTTTAAATTTATCGACGTATGATAATTGAGTGCGAGTGCTGGTGGGGTTGGTTTGATTCTTTTGATCATCTTTTCGGGTGAGACAAAGAAGAAAAAAAATAGTGATGAAAAACGGAAAAGTAAGAGAATATGATTATCTATAAAGTGAACCATTAGATGCAAAAGAAAATAATAGGTCATCGTCATATATGACTTTTCTATATTATAAACACATACCGAAAATTCTTCTCTACCTACCTAAGGTAAAATGAAATTTAAACCACTCGAATTTACGGAAGGAACTTACTTTTATATATGAAAAACTAAAAAATTTACGGTACCAAACACTTCATTTATAGTCGTTAAAATAAAAGGAAATTTAAGATCAAACTAATCGACCAGATTTTTCTTTATACTTGAAGGAGTAGAATATCAAATAATTGCCTTTTGAGATGATTATTGGTGTTTAATGCACTAAGCTATGCTCGTATTTACAACAAATTATGTTGGTAAGGTTGATTTGGGTCAAGTGGTCGGTTTGATTCGGTTCGGTATCAGTTGGGTAAAAAATGAGCCGAAAATCGACCTCAACCGACACCCTTGGCACAATGAACTTGATTTTCACTTTGATCACAGGTCTTAGCACAGAAGAATTTCTTGATTTAACTATCCAAAACTAAACCAAATCAAGATAGCTAACACAAGATCAATGGATTCAGATACAAACATTTGTTCCATAGGAATCTGTCCCTGCTTTGAAACTGGTATGGTTTGAAATACCGTTTGTAACAATCCAAGCCCACTGCTAGCAGATATTGTCTTTTTTAGGCTTTTCCTATCGAGTTTTCCCTCAAGGTTTTTAAAACGCGTCTGCTAAGGGGAGGTTTCCACACCCTTGTAAAGAATATTTCGTTCCCCTCTCCAACCGACGTGGGATCTCACAATCCACCCTCCTCCCCCCTTCGGGGTCCAACGTCGTCATTGGCACTCGTTCCCTTCTCCAATCGATGTGGGACCCCCTAATCCACTCCTTTTCGGGGTCCAACATCTTGGTTGGCACACCGCCTCGTATCCACCTCTTTCGGGGCTCAGCCTCCTCACTGGCACATCGCCCGGTGTCTGGCTCTGATACCATTTGTAATAGCCCAAGTCCACCACTAGGAGATATTGTCTGCTAAGGACAATTTCCACACCCTCATAAAGAATGTTTCGTTCCCCTCTCCAACCGATGTGGGATCTCACAATGCATCACCAAATAATAATAATAATAATAAATGAACATCAAAAGTTGTTCTTTTTCACTAACTTCTTCATTTTAATTGCTCCTCAGTTTCTTCAGGTTTTGATATGAACTCAGATATAGATTTGCAGAATTCAGATGAAAACAAGGTTGCTCATTGAGCATAACAGAAACGATTGCATACCGACCGACCGACCGACCTCTAATCCACGAATCGACTTTAAGGACTCTTCTTGCTAGATTCTTTGACAAACAAAAAACTCATAAATTCAGAATAATCTCAGTCATTACATGCTTTAAAAGCACACACAGATTGGCAATTTATGAACTTGGACTTACCTCGTTCTCCTTTGAATTACTTCCAAATATCCCTTGGTCCAAGCTTTCCTAAGACAATCAAACCTAATTAAACTTAGAAAACAACTGAACTGTAATTATCCACAGCTAAAAGAAGAAAACAAAGTTCCAAACCTGGGATGGCTTTCTCAAACAATCAAGGGCTTCAAGTAACCGAACTACGATAGATTCTGGTTTTTATTTCTTTGTTTAAGTCACAAAACCAGCACGAGCGACCTCCCGTAGCTCGTTATGAAGCAAAGAAAGTCAGAAGTTGCACTGTTAATAGTCATAGTTCAAGATGAAGGAGAGAGCATATCCTAATTCCTTATTTTTCTTCTTCCCTTTTTCTTTCTATAACAAAACTCCACTTGTATCAGTCTTCTCATACTTTCTATTTGATCGATCGGATTATCATCCGATCTCTCCGAGTCACCGAAATCTACAATAAAGAGTCTAAAATTCACTTAAAAAAGAAAAAGGCATCATGCTTCCCTAGGCTGTACGTGTACCATTTAATTTAAACAAGCTTATAAACACCTTGATTAATTCCGTTGTAACGACTACCGAACCTATAGCGTTTTCCTTCAGAAAACTTATGATGTTTATTCAATATTCTAGGTAGGGTGACCAACAATGATTTAAATTCAGGACCTCAAACTGTCTACATTTCCAGCTTGCCTCCTCAACCACAGTAACCCAAGGTGGTTTATTGTGTTGTTTTCTGTTCGATCTCGACTTCTTCACCAAATAATCTATTGATAAATGGTAACTCAAATAATAATTTGATTACAAGTTTCCTAAGTTCTTAAAAGTAGAAACAAATGCAGAAGTAGTGCAATTTCATCATCAAAGCGACTCTTAACTATGAAATAAGCTGTAAACCAGTAATATGCCTTAAGCCTGACCTCTAGGAAGTTTAGGAGAGAAAAAAACGTACGAAGCATCTAACATCGGCTTCCAAATATAGGATCAAAGTGTTTCTTCATATATTCTTTTACTTTCTATATCCTCCTATTACTAATCCAGTGTAAGCTAAGCCTTACAATGGTAGTGATTTCATCGTGTCAAAACAATGAAGTCACTATGTGAGATCCCACATATGTTGGGGAGAAGAACAAAACATTCCTTACAAGAGTGTGGAAACCTCTCCCTAGTAGATGCGTTTTGAAGATCTTGAAGGGAAGCCCGAAATGGAAAGCCCAAAAAGGACAATATTTGCTAGCGGTGAACTTGGGCTATTACAAATGGTATCAGAGCTAGACACCGAGCGGTGTGCTAGCAAGGACGCTAGAGCTCCAAGGGGGGTGGATTGTGAGATCTCACATCAGTTGGAGACGAGAACGAAACATTCCTTATAAAGGTGTGGAAACCTCTCTCTAACAGATGCGTTTTAAAAACCTTGAGGGGGAAGCCCAAAAGGGTTACACACTAACATTGTCATTGCCTCAGAGATTGAGACCTTTCATTTCATTTTCATGTCATAAAAAACAATGACCAAAATGAAGAACCATTCAATATATTTCAAACTGTACACTGAACCTATTAATTTAATAAAACATCAAGATATGTGTTCGAATCTTCGGATGAGCTTATAACGAAAACACTCGATATCTCCAAAGTCGGCCTTGACCAAGTAAAAACATAATATACATGTTAAAAGGGCCATATCATATATTCACTAAGAAATGAATCATACCATTATTATCAATCAGCTAACAGCACAGTAAGAACTCAGTCATAAACTTCAGCCACTCTCTCCAAGCCTCCTTTCCCTTCATTCAACAAAGCCAAGCTCTCAACATAAGTATCTAAATAGAAAGAACCCTCACCACCATAGATTCCAAGACCCTTCATAAGCTGGTTTTCAGGCCTATACACGACCACTTCTCCACTTTTAGATTCCATTATCATATCTCCATTTTCCCTAAGACCCAACACCATTCCCAACTCCTGAGACGGTTCGAAGCTGGTTAATTTAGTCCAAGACTCAGGCATGTCATAGTTTTGCAGCACCCAAACAGAGCACACATATGTTTCAAAACAGTACCAGCCACACAACATGATAGAAAGTGCTCCTCCTAGAACAGAAACTTTCAAGTCACATGGTGAGCTATTAACCAAACAATCAGGCAAAGCTATTAAACTGAAACACTCCTCAACTATATCAAATCTCAAAATGAAACACTTATAACCCCTGCTACTTTCCCTGTATGCAACCCAATGAACAGCCCCATTGAAAAAAGCTTGTGTCCATTCTGATTTAACTATCTCACAACGAGGAGCTTTGCTTTCGATTACTCTCCAACAACCTGTTCTAACCTCATACAATTCAACTTTAGGAGATCTTTTATAATTAAAAGGACTCTTATCTTCAAAATATAACAATCTTACCACCTTGTAGTCGTTGGCCCGAGGATCGAAGCCAAACCCGAGTGCAAATTTATCTGGGGCATCATAGATGGTGATAATATCGCTTGTTCTAAGAACAGCTACGACTCTTTGAATTGATGGATTCCACAAGAGAATGTCGAGACCAGATAAGCAAACCAATCCATTGCAAATACCCACTAACTTAAAATCCCCATTCCAATTGATGAATGGAAATTTCAATTCCTCGTATAGATCCAATGTTTCCGTGTCGAAATGAAGCGAATACCGCTCTTTCTTCTTGCTCCCTGTGCCAAAATACCGCCTGAGAATCAGCCATTTCTTGTTGTAGATTGAAGACTTATTGAAGTGGGCGTTGATGAAAATTGGATCAGAGATGGCAGCGCGCCATGATTGTGAGACGCATGAACAGAGGACAAGGGTTTTTGGAGGAAGTTTCAGAAAGATGTTAAATAAGACTTCCTGTGGAAGATAATCGGCCATTGCTAAGAACCATTGAAGAAATATTCAATCGAAGAATTGAGAAAGAAAACCTGTAAATCTTCGAAGGGTTATTCGCAGCGATTTTTGGAGAAGAAATTGAATAGAGATGTGCTAACGGTGGAAGCGAAGAACAGAGCAAGGGAATTCTGTACTTCTATTGCGATGGCCGTTAAAAAAAATAAAATAAAAATTAAATTAATAAAAATATACGTGGGTCCGGTTGGATTGATAACTAACTCAAACTATTCGGTTCAACCCAACTCTCTATTCTCGAGTTGTTCTAAATTATTGTTTTTTTTAGCGGTAAATAATTACCATTTATATATTTTTAATTTAAAAATGAGCGAGTGTTTTACATTAAATTTTTTTTATTTAATATAATTTTAAAAATTTATCAATTTTTCGAGGATGATCTAACATATCTCACTACATTGAAAACACTAGAGATGAAGTTAGTGTATAAGTCTGTCATTCACAATCAAGTTAATTACGTGGACACAACATGTCATGTTTAATACCTCTTTCAGACGAGTGAATTCCAACTTTTAAGCATTTTCATAATATAGAAATAGCTGGGAAACTTCAATCATCAACGAGAAAACTGACATTTTTTTTTTTTTTTTTTGCATGTTGACATTTTTTGATCGAGCTCCCAATCCGTATTACCCAACTCAAACCATAAAAAGTGAATTGGGTTAGATTTTTTTTTTTCTCTTGACATGGATTGGATTAAATATTAACAAAAATTGAAAATTCAGGTCGGTTCGAGGACTCAAAATCTTCGTCTCACCAGTTCAAATTTGCTATTGAAAATAAGGATAATGTGTAGGAAATGGCCGAAATGGCCGATAGCTCATTTGGTAGAGCAAAGGACTCAAAATTTTCGTCTCACCGAATTGCTATGAAAATAAATAAGGATAATGTGTCGGAAGTGACCGGTATAGCTCAGTTAGTAGAACAGATCACTAGTTGAAAATAGGATTACAATTCAACCCTATTTTTAAGATTATTAGAAAAATTAAGAATATTTAACGTCTCTAACCAACATAAGTCATCATTGTAACTCGTGAATGTTTGTTCAAACAATAAAAAAGAACATCCAGACAACTCAATTCAACCCAACTCAAAAACATATAATTAGGCTATGCCATGAACCCTATTTAGATTGCTCGGGTCACCACAACAGATAATTAGGCTCTACCATGAACCCTATTTGGATTGTTCGGGTCACCAACCCAGCCAATCCAAAATTTTGGGTTAGACCAAAACATTTCTCCAACCCAACTTAACCCGTATACACCAATACTTCAATTCATCCAACTACTTAAACCGAAGAGTATAGATCGAGATTCCTCCATTACTCGTTTAAGAATTTCAACACAACTTATTGCATTCATCATCAAACAAACAAAAAAACAAAAAAACAAACAAAAAAAAAGACAACAAAGGAATCATCAAATAATTAGATCATCATCATCATAATCATCATGACACTCATCCAACCAATCAAATCTATGTTCTTCCCAAAAGCTGCTTCACAAAATCCTTCAAGTTCATGTCAGAGCTTCCACCTTCATCCATGGCGGCTTTGGCCACCTCCCTCCACTTCACCAAATTCCCATTAATTTCTTCACTATCTTCTCCCTCCATAACTTCATTAATACAAACCTCAATCTCCTCTCTTTTACACACTCCATCTTCTTCCATTCTCACCCTCTTCCCCACCTTCCAAACATCCTCCACATACTTCGCGTTCGTCGGTTGGTCCGACCACTGAGCCATCGCCACCAACCCCACCCCCAAGCTCAACGCTTCGAGCGTCGAGTTCCAACCGCAGTGCGTAACGAAGCATCCCACTGATTTGTGGCTCAAAACTTGTAGCTGAGGGCACCATTTTACTACCAGCCCTTTTTCAGCTGTTTCGTCGATGAATTTGGGTGGAAGTTTATGAAGTTCGGATTCTCTCACGACCCATAAGAAGGATTTCGTGCTTAGCTTCAACCCTTCCGCTAACTCCTCCATTTGAGGCTTACCCAATTCGGCTGTGCTACCGAATGATACGTATACGACCGAGTTTTCGGGTTTTGAATCAAGCCATTTCATGGAAGAACTTTTGTTTGGTTCGAATAGGCTAACCCCATAATCTTTGTCATTTGGGATCCGTCCATCTAAGTAGATTGACGGAAGCATTGGTCCGATGTTCTTGAATGGAAAATGGCTTTCCATCCATTTCACTTCCTGAGATGTCGAGTTAAATTAATAAAAATATCAATAAATTTTGTACTTTGTCTAAAATATATCAATAATATCCTTGAATTTACACATACACACACATATATATATATATATATATATGCTCTTGTCAACTTCTCCCTATCCAAGGTTATATACGGTGAGCCGTTGTCATTTCTCTTTTGCTTGCTTATATAACGTCTTTTTCAAAAATCTCTCTCTACCCACGTTTTCTAAAACCTTCTCTTAAAACCGAGGCCAGAGGCTCGAGCATACGTCGCTTGGCCGTAGGCAACGCAAGAACGAATTGGCTTAGCTCACTTGTCGTTGGAAAGTGAGTGCCGCACAATCGCAAGTCCGCTGCCATCAAAAGTGCGATTGTGACAAGTGGTATCAGTATTTTGTCTCGAAAATACTCTCGAAAATATTTTAAAGACTCCGTACCAATTGTTTTGTTCTAGTTTTGAAAACCCACTAGTATTTTTGAAATATTTTGAAAGTGTTCATGAATATTTTAGATACACGGGTGCACCTAATCAATGGTCCCAACTTAGTTGTTCTGAATTGTTTTCGTTTTCGATTATCTAATAAATGAAATAGATTGTCTTCCCATTTATTTAAAAACTTTGACCCTCCTTTCCCGAACTAAACATGAATCTTTCGATTCATTTGGCTCTCACGCCTTAATTATTACCATTATTTCTCAAAAATTCCCATAAAAATGAGTATTTTTGAAATAAAATATTAACAAGATCCTCTCAAACTAATGGAATTTTTAAATTTTTTAAAATTTTTAAGAAATGATCCTGCGTTTATAATCAAGGAATACTAACAACGCGTTCGTCGGGAGCCCAAAGCAAAGCCATGAGTCTTTATGGACAATATCATGCGATTTGTGGAGATCTGTGATTCTTAACCCGTACCTGTGGTTCCAAGGCATCAAAAGTGTTAGCAAAGATCCAATCAGCCTCATTCAAACGTTGAAATTGTTCATCAGCCAAATGCTGAAGAAACCCCGGATACTTCCCTTGATCAGCCACGAACGACGGCAGATCCAACGCCTCAAACAATGGAAACCCATCAACACAAATCCACCCTTTGTCCAATGGAACACTCACCCAATGCTTATAAACACTATAATAAATGGAATTGACAGCACAAGATTGAGTGAAAAACGCTGCTCCCATCACTCCAAACCCCTTCACAATGTCAAGAACCCAAGAAATAACCGAGTCATACACCACACAACTTATGCGTTTGCTACCATCTTCATGGCACCTCATGAGCTCCTTTAGATACACACCCATTGACTCCTTCCTCCGCTCCCACAAGGCGAGTACGGTCTCTGTCTCTGTCTCCGCTCCTTGGTATGGTAGGAGAGGGACGTGGTCGACGGTGAGGGAGCGGGGGAGGTGGCGGTAGTGGTGGTCGGAGGAGGAGGAAATGACGGGGAGGGTGACTTGGAGACCGACGTGGGCGAGGTGCTTGGCGAATTGGAGGAGTGGGTTAATGTGGCCTTGAGCATGACATGAAACCACTACTACATGAAGTTTTGGGGTCTCTTTTTCTTGAAGGCTTCCCATTTTGTGCACTTTTTTGTTGTTGTTGTGCTGTGGATTGGCTTGTTTGTGTGGGATTTGTAGGCCTTTTTGAATTGGTGTTGTGAGCTAAGCGAATACGTCATGAAACTAAAACACTATGGTTTTTATAAGTCCTAATAATTGTTTGTGGGATCTACTATTTTTGTGTTCCCTATGTTTCTTTCTAGATTTAGACCCATAAAATAATCTTATCTTTACGTCGGTTTTGTTTTATAAATTTTGGACGGTATTTTTTTAGTTATGAACTATTTGTCTTTGTCGATCTGGATTTGTTTCTGTTCGTCATTGAAATTCTGTCTGGATTGGTTTGTGTTAATCTTGATTTGTTTCTGTTTATAATTGATACTATGTCTTGATTGGTTTGTGTTAATATTGATTTGCTTATGTTCGCAATTTATATTTTGTCTTGATTGGTTTGTGTCGATCTTGATTTGCTTCTGTTCATAATTGATACTTTGTCTTGATTGGTTTGTGTCGATCTTGATTTGCTTCTGTTCGTAATTGATACTCTGTCTTGATTGGTTTGTGTTGATCTTGATTTGCTTTTGTTCGTAATTGATATTCTGTCTTGGTTGGTTTTTTGGGAGAGGCGTTATCCAGAACAATGACATTATCTGTAGGTTTTATGCTCGTATTTTTAGAGTGACATAGTTGGATGACAGGAGAAGCTCATAAAGATACCAAAGTGGATGGTCCTTATCGTGTCTTTATGCAAAAAGTTGCTCCATAAGGGTAAAGTCTTGTCTAGAAATCAAAGTTAGAAGAAACTTTTTGAGGATTAATAGGCGAATTTTGGTATTTAAGTTCTCGATACAAATCAGTTTATCAGTTAATATCAATTTAAACTTTGAAGTTTTATGAATCCATTTTAAATCATCTAACTTTTTTGAATATAAAGCTTAAATTGATTGAATTTAATTGATAGAATTATAAGTGGGCTCTTCAACAAAGATTATTTTGCCCTCTCCAATGTCTCTATCTTACTTACGTCTATACTTATCTTCAATGCCCAAAGATAGAAGTTTGTCTATTCAATGTCTCTATCTTGCTTATATCTCCACTTGTCTTCAATGCCCTCCACTTGTCTTCAATGCCCACCCTATGTGTCCTGTCTATTCAATGTCTCTATCTTGTTTATGTCTCGACTTGTCTTCAATGTCCATTCCGTGTGGTGTGTTAGATGATGTATCGTTCTCCTCAGTCGCATCATGGCGCTCGTCTAGGCCCTCGTGTGGCCAGAAGGGCACCAGTTGAGGGTCGCTGCCCACTCTGAGTGGTGTGTCGCATCATGGCGCTCGTCTAGACCCTCACGTGGCTGGAAGGGCGCCACTTGAGGGTCACCCTTCTCTTGTCGCAACGTGATGGTTACAACCTACTCTATTCATAGTTAAGTTGTGACGTTGAAAGGAATCTCATTAAGATATAATTTAATAAATATATAATTTAGGACTTCTTAAATGTTACAATAATTTTAGTCCCAATATTGTTGATTGGACGGCGCGACAGAGGACCACAGTATGACGACAGATAAAAGAGTTGTCCAACTCTCTCTCTCTCTGGCTTCGAATTTATTGCAGGTCAATTTTTTTGAAGTATTGCAACACCCACCTTTAGGTATGGGTAAAAATTTAATTTTTCTCCTAATTATTGGACTATATTTTAATTAATTTTTACAATTTAGGTTTATATACTCCTTTGGTATGATCAATTAAGTCGGGTCGAACTCCTCGGGCGATTAGTCAAAGAATGATAAGTTGGGATTTTGAAAAGAAAAAAGATAAAATAAACGCATGTACAAGAATACTTTAAAATTTTGTGTCAAATGATTCCTGCTCGTAAAAAAATATTGTTATAAAGTATAATCGAAAGTTTTATATATATACACAATGTGAAACCGAGTATGGACCGTTGAATAATAATAATTGGCACTGAGTGGGGTTAAGATTTATAGTAGGTTACCAACTAAAGCTAAAGTTTAAAAAGGCCAAAAAGCTTGCTAGATTATCTACTAATTCAAAAACTTTTGAAAATAATATTTGCAACAAAAAAATATTACATCACATTTTGTATTATCTGTCCATCAAGTGTTTATTCAATTTCTTTTAAAAAAAAATAATTCAATTGTTTAGCATGAAGAGTAGATAGATTGAGTAGTAGTAGTAGAGAAGCACGAGTAGATAGATTGAGTAGAAGTAGTAACCTTTGTCTAAACTTTGGCTTCATTCGGATTCACACAAGGTACCAATGGCAGAGTAGAGCTATAAGGAGCGAAGCTCACACGTTCACTGATGGAGGACGAAATCACATTTTATACTTTCTCGTCTAAAGAGGTGGATTTTTTCACCTTACAATGACTAGAACGAAGGACCAAAAACGATGAATGATGAGTAGGAGCTAGCCTTCCTTATTTTATATAAGAGTAGGGGTGGAATCGAAGCGAAAAGGGTAAGAATAAAAAGAAACGGACTAAAACAAAGAGTTCATTAGCCACACATGGTAAAGGGGATAAAATTCAACCTCTTTCATGACCAAAGGCTCGGAACCCCTTTGAAGAGGAGGATTAACTCAATGACCCATCACATCACACGATAGATAGAGTAGATAAAAGGAGACTTTGGAGAGAGGTTAACCCAACTGTCAAACTACTAGAAGAATTCATTACATACAGAATTGGGAAAAGACCAAACTTGACAATAAGTCCAAAGAGAAGCATTTGAATCTAAAAAAAACCACTTTTAGTCCCATAAAACCATTTCAAAACTGTAATGGTTACTTTATCTACAACTGGTTATTAAAAAAAACAAATTAAATTCATTTAAAAATTTTATGTTTTTTTTTTTTTTTTGTTCACAAATATTCCAAGCAAAGTAAAATATACTTTTTTTTAATAAATACAAAAAGATGTGGACAAGAGGGTGCTAATATGGTCCCAATGGTGTTCTTAAGTGGTGGGGGCACAGAGATCGAGAGAGACCATAATTGAGATTCTCTTTCCTAAACAAACACGTCAATGCATAAAGCCTAACCGAAGGATACATCCATGACGACCCCATTTATAAGGGTGTGGAAATCTTCCCCTAGCCTATGTATTTTAAAGCCTTGAGGGGAAGCCTAAAAGAAAAAACCCAAAGAGGACAATATCTATTAGCGGTGGATCCAATTATAAGGGTGTGGAAACCTTCCCCTAGCCTATGCGTTTTAAAGCCTTGAGGGGAAGCCTGAAAGGAAAAGCCCAAAGAGGATAATATCTATTAGCGGTGGATCCAATTATAAGGGTGTGGAAACCTTCCCCTAGCCTATGCGTTTTAAAGCCTTGAGGGGAAGCCTGAAAGGAAAAGCCCAAAGAGGATAATATCTATTAGCGGTGGATCCAATTATAAGGGTGTGGAAACCTTCCCCTAGCCTATGCGTTTTAAAGCCTTGAGGGGAAGCCTGAAAGGAAAAGCCCAAAGAGGATAATATCTATTAGCGGTGGATCCAATTATAAGGGTGTGGAAACCTTCCCCTAGCCTATGCGTTTTAAAGCCTTGAGGGGAAGCCTGAAAGGAAAAGCCCAAAGAGGATAATATCTATTAGCGGTGGATCCATTTATAAGGGTGTGGAAACCTTCTCCTAGCCTATGCGTTTTAAAGCCTTGAGGGGAAGCCCGAAAGAAAAAGCCCAAAGAAAACAATATCTGCTAGCGTTACATTCAATCAAAATTTCAGAAAATTAAAAACTAAAAATCAAATGGTTATCAAACGTTACCTAAATTTAACATATTTTGTCCAAGACTCGAGCCTCTATTTATATATTTTTGGAGACCATTTCTTTTCACTTACTCCAAACATGGAAAAAGCATTACTACAATATTACATATGTAGGTAGGTAAGTTTTCAGTTCCCAATACTTCTGCTATAACGAACACTAATAGACAGCTTAAAGTCCTCTAATTTTGTTTACATGTATTTATACCCATTGAACCTTTGCTAACCTTTATTGAAACAGCAAAGCAATCCAAGGAAGCTATGAGCACAGGAACAATTTCTAAAAGTATTCCTATGTTCAGCTTGGAGATTTAACGACTTTTTTCTAACAGGTGATACGACTCGGATTTTGGTTTCGACTTACCTATACGAGAGTTCAGCAATCATATATCAAAAAATGTGACTATCTTACCTTTGTAATTTGTTGATATTCAATGTTCAAGAATTGGCGTCTTCGGCCTGACTGCCCAATCTCACAATGTCTTCTACAAGAATTTTGCCATCTGTTGCAGAGAAATAAATGGTAATACTAAGTTAAATTTACAGAATGTTGCAGAATGTTGCAGCTCTATCATCCATGTAGAGAAAGAGAACTATCAGAGAACATAGTTTAGATTGGTAGGTTGATTTACATTGTTCGTAATATTCGAACCCCGGAATAGCTCCATTTTCTTGCGAATACAGATTATATGCCAACATAAATTCGACTTTGTTTCACTACCTCACAGCAATGAGAAAATTCGAAACGTTCAAAGTATAATTAATATAGCTTTGAGAAAGTTGTAGATTGACAGAGGAAACTGATTTAGGAAAAACATCACCACTTGTAGATTCAGATCATTTGAAGAATCAAAAGCTGGATACAAAAAAGGTGAAGAGTATACTTTCCTTCGTCGAGAGGCAAGAACTCCCCCTATATTCAACGACGAACTGAAACCACACTCAATTTCCAATGAGTTGGGATCATGAGAATCCAATTCATGAGATAAGTTACATGCCTACCCGGAATCGTTATGATTAAAGATTCGGGCCACAGCTCCCTCAAATTTTGGACTGGCTAAATCCTAATTTCTCAACCAAAAATTGATCTGAAAGGTGATATAACTCAGAACTTTTCTCGTAAAGGATTGGGGGGTAGAATGTTCTTATGATCACCATTACTTTGCCATGTCAGGATAGAAAGAAATTGGTTTGAGAAAAAGAGAGATTTCTTGGGCACAACGAGAAACCTTTGGCACAGTTTCTCAGAAAAACCTTGACCCATCTTACTAAGAAGCATTCTGAGGACAGAGAAAATAAGATCTGTAAGTTACCATGCTCACTGACAAAGAATTTACTGCCACCAAAAATTTGTACCTCTAGTCCTACACCACGCCTCATAGGACAGACCAACTGGCCATATTTTTCATTACAAGATTAAGAACAGATTCCCCCATCATAATGAAAGGGAACAGATGAAGGGGAGAAGAGAAAATGAGATGGAGGGAACAAGAGCTATGATCACACACGGTACCAAGTGGTAGAGTCTTCAACACCGTACACCACGGCACTACCTTTTTAAATAAACAAATAAATAAAAAGGAAAAGAAACAACAAAGATGAGGAACAGAGTGAAAATTATAGTCTGTTCTGAACGAAAATGCAAAAAGGCTAACAATAAACCAGAGAACTTCTAATAATAAAGCAACCAATATACCTTTATCTTTGGAAAGACTACTGACAAGCTCTTGGATGCCTTCCTTCCCTAATGTATCTTTTAAGTACATAGCAGCAGCTGCAACCTCTTCGGGAGTAACTTTACCATCAAAATCCCTACGAGAAAAAACCATTACCCAAGTTAAAATGTGAAACATGTAACAGAGGACCTCAGACTAATGCACTTACAAGCTTAGTTTGCTTCATTACTAAGATGAACAAAGCAATGAAAATTGAAAATTTGTAAAAACATATTCATGCTATTTAAGCATTGAGGAATATTCACATGACAAGCTTTGGTAGAGGTCACAGGGGAAAACGTTATAATTAGAGGTTTTTTAGTCAAAATTCCGCTCATCAGCTATGATCTGAGGAAAATAACAAATTCCACCGACCAAGTATGACAGTAGAGAGGGAAATTCTAAATGCTACGAGAGAAAGATCCAATTAACAGACAAATAAGATCAGGGTTGCTAAAAAGGGAACAAAGGGTTGTCTGAAAGTGAAAGTGTGATGGCCAGCATTCAAAGTCGACCAGGACCTCCACCATCATTCCGTGAACCTCCAAAAAGGAGCACCGACTAGGTAGGAGATAAATAGTGAGATATTTGTAAGCTTTCCCACATGTAATAGACCAAGAAAACCCCTGACCATTTTAGATAATTTGCTTTCCATATTGCTTTGATTAATTTACTTGAAGCGTATTGACCAAATTTTGTAGGATTGGCGAAAAATGACTCCAAGAAAAGAAACCAAAGTGGGCAACCAAGATCTTGACCAGTGTATTAGGTAAAGAGAAGCCTTTCACTTTTTCCATCAGAAAAAGTCAATTCTTCTATCTGCATAGACCAAAGACTTAGAAGAAGGAATTCAACAGTACTAAACAGATAAGTTTCTAGAACTTTCTTAATCTGAATAGAAAAATTTCAAACAAAAGGGTATCCATAGATCCAATCCAACTAAAAGCTAACCTAAACCCTAAACCCATCCTACACATAAAATTTAGTATTTGAAAAGGACACGTTATTTAGCTCTGCTACGGAAAACAAGTGACTACGGAGAAGGCCCTAAATGAGGTTTTGTATCTAAACCCATATTCATCTCATCCATAAGGAATTTAAATCTCATTATTCTGAAGGTATTCCCAAACCAAGGCTTCTAAAATCTTTGAGGACAAAATCTTTTTCCAATTAACTAAACGGAGATCATGATCTTTGAACCTTCACCAAATAATTCCCCCAAAATTTTATTCATTAGACTAGGAAAACTTCTTTTCGAGATCTTGAGACCCTAGAAATAGTTGGTATGTAGGTTGCAAACCGCTAGTTAAGCAAAAATAATCCTTCATCCTTTTAAAAATGAGGAAATTCGTTCACTTTTGGAGCTAATTGTTTATCATTTCAGCACTGGGTTTCAAAATTCATTTCTATCAAGATTACGAGACCAAGATACATAAAAAACCATTCATTAACATCCACAGTTAATACAACCTCTACCTCCAGGGATAGTACAAACAAAGACCCACCTCAGATCTCAGCTAGTTTGAAACTTGAAAAGAATTCTACAATCAAGCTAGTATGGAAGGGATCTTTAATAGGGAAAATAATCAAGGAACATCAGAGAGCATAGCATAGCTCAGACCATGGTAAGTCTCTGATCACGCAAAGAATTAGTTGCACGCAAAGAATTAGTTGCATGTCTAAGGGATCAAAAGAACTTGCATGATAGCAAATAAAATGAAACAAACATACGTGTCTAGTAATTGCCAACGGTCACCAATTTTGGCATCCACATCATCAATTTCCTTTTCTAGTTTTTGAAGCATAGTATCAACCTGAAAGATGACCAAGAATGAGAATACATCAAGTCAAAAGAGCATTATGCAGACCAGAGATACAAAAAGAAGTTTAAAACTATATGAACTATAAAAAATCTGTGAGAAGTCTCACTCTTTCAACAAGTGCTGATGAAATGTCATCTCCTTCTGACTCTTCAGTAGACTGATCACTTTCTTCTCGAGCAGCTCTATATGCCTCCCTGACCTCTTTTTCACCATCGGTGCCTTCTCTTCCTACCATGCTATTATAGAGTTCTATCTAGATATATCATGATATAATATGATAGTCACTACCAGAAGAATATCCGATCAATGAATACATAAAGTAAAATAAAAGAAATTAAGGTGCTTTTCATTGAACAATACAAAAATGATCAAATAAGTCTGACAAATGTAGTTAAAAAATACAACAAAATCCAGAACCTTTTTTTTTTTTTTTTTTTTGATCCAGCCCTCATAACAAGGGAATAACCTCTGTTCTTCTATGTTTTTCAACACATCATCTCCCAAACTTTTGAAGTCCCCACCACCTTCACCCAATCAACATTCTTACACAGTCCCCCACTTCCTATATTAAGTCCTCTATGCAAGACCTTACCAGTGTAAAAAGATTATGCATCCAATCTCCATCAACATCAATCTCCTTGCTTAATACTCCAAGAAGGCATATCAATTATCATAAAGACGTTTCCAATCAATTTGAACAAACTCATCCTTCCTTTCCATCACCCTTTCCTCCTATTAGTTCTGTTTTTTGACCTCTTTGTAACCCTTAACCACTTTGTACTAAAGATAATTTTCATTATGGTCTGAAAATGTAACACCCCAAGCCTAGAATTTGGATAAGGATTTGAAATCCAGATTTGACACTTGTGTGTCCTAGCATTCTCCGGCATCCTTTGCGACATGGTTATATTACTTCTCGCTTCTAAGAGTGAAGACTATCTCAACATACCAACAAGGGTCCTTTTAGCATGTTTTGTTCTCACTCACATGCATCCTAAGAAAATTCCTAGGAGGTCACCCAACATAGAATTGCTCCAAACAAAGCATGTTTAATTATGAAATTCCTATGATTGAACCATCGAAGAGGAATGTGCTCCTTGTTAGTATAGGTAGTAACTTTCATTGTTTTTAGGTCTTTCTTAGTCATCCTATCCTCATAATCCCTTTCATTCAGATGTAGTTTCAATTCATTCATGTACCCCTCCTTTACTCGAGTGTCACATGCCCACCAGCTTCTACCTTGGTTTGTCCCCGAACCACATCTTATTGGGAGAAGTATTGCTTTAATACCATTAGTAACAACCCATCCCCAGGATTCGTATTTGACACTTAATGGCCCCGACATTCCCCTGCATCCCCTACGACATAGTCACGTTACTTACTCTCGCTTTCAGCATGTTTTGTCATCACTTACATGCATCATAGAAAAATTCATAGGAGGTTACCCAACATAGAATTAGTCCAAATAAAACACACTTAACTATGAAGTTTCTATGATTGAGGCACCAAAAAGGAAGGTGCACTTCGGATTGCTATGCTCACTAGCTTCTACCTTAGTTTGTCCCCAAACCACATCAGGAGAGGTTCTACTCTGAAACAGCCAGATTCCTAATCCACCCTTGTTAGTTTGTCCCCAAACCACATCAGGAGAGGTTCTACTCTGAAACAGCCAGATTCCTAATCCACCCTTGTTTACCCTATTTGTAATGGTCCAAGCACATAGCTAGCAAATATTATCCTCTTTGGGCTTCCCCTTTCGAGCTTCCCCTCAAGGCTTTAAAACGCGTATGCTAGGGGAAGGTTTCCACACCCTTATAAATGGTGTTTTGTTCTCCTCCCCAACCAATGTGGGACATCACAATCCACCCCCCTACGGGGCCCAGCATCCTCATTGGCACTCGTTCCTTTCTCCAATCAATGTGGGACCGCCATCAAATCCACCCCCTTTGGGGCCCAGCGTCCTTACTGGCACACTACCTCTACCCTCCTTCGGGGAATAGCAAGAAGGCTGGCACATTGTCCAGTGTCTAGCTCTGATACCATTTGTAATAGTCAAAGCACACCGCTAGCAGATATTGTCCTCTTCGGGCTTTCCCTTTCAGGTTTTCCCTCAAGGCTTTAAAACGCGTTTGCTAGGGGAAGGTTTCCACACCCTTATAAAGGGTGTTTTGTTCTCCTCCCCAACCAATGTGGGACATCACACTATTGGAACGTCACTTCATACCATCATTGTGAGGGTGGTAATTTCAATAAACCAACCATTGTGATTTGATAATTTCTGCCCCATTGGTGCTTGATCCAACTAAAAGAATTTCTCCTATTACATTCTAATATATCAAAAATAAAATTTTAGTTTTTTCTATAACTAAATGAAGAAACATCTAGATTCACTAATTTAAGCTCACTACATCTGCCAAAATTCATGGAATCTCCCATGCTTAAACAACATTCTCACTTTACAAGCGAGAGAGCATCGTGATGTCTGTTCTAATTAAAATACAGTTGATACATATCAATCACTAACAGATAAAAGAATTTAAGAGAACCAGAGAGAAAGAAAAGACAGGGTAGGGGCTCTGTATCCTAGCATTCAAATCAATGTCAATTGCTCTACCAATAGAGTGCTAATTACCATATTCGCTGAGCTATATAACCAGAAAGCTATAGGCATGAATATGTTATGCAACTGAAGTATACCTCCTTATTCACAAGCTGCAGGAATTCTTCACGCTCTCTACTAACAGACTGCATGTACATAAGCAACATGAATGAGATCAAAGACAAGCTTATCCTTGAAAATTGTTTGGCGAAAACAAAGTGAGTTTACTATTAAACCAAGAGCTTAGTTTTCATTTTCTTACAGAGGCAGATGCTAAAACAGCCAATGCACGACTGACTTCACAGAGGTGCTCTTGTTTTTCTGAAGCTTTTGCTCTAGCTTGTTCTATAGCTTCTCTTGTCATGGGGTTGACCATCTCCTTCAGAGCTATATCTTCTTGGCTGGATTTGGATTCCTTCATTTTAGCTTGTTCCTCTTCTTCTTTCTCCTCCTCCTCCTACATGCAGAAACAATTTGCTGAGACTTCAACCGAGAAACTGAATCGACATTTTATATTGGTTCAAATATAAGTTTAAAATGCATAGAAGCTAGAAGCATTGCCTAAGCTCACAGAGTGTATGCTTAAGCGCTCAAGACTCACAATGCAAAGTGGAAATAACAAAGAACGGCCGCCATGAATGAAGACAATATAAGTGTCTTATGCAACATATTATAACAAGGACAACTAAGGAGGATTCTGATAGTTCGGAACATAAAAGTGGAGAACTTCTCACTTCTAAAAAACCAATAAAAGTACAACCTTGATCATTTCCTCCTGCATCTCAAGGAACTCTAACTTTCTCCTCCTTTCTGATATGGAATCTTCAGATGGCAAAGCAGTAACGCCCACGGTATCTACAACCTCATCTGGCAGAGAAGACAGTGTAGCCAGGACAGCTTCCTCTGGTTTCACCTTTCCAGATACTGTGAATGCTCTGAGAAAGGTACAAAACAAGAAATTCATAATGAAGTGAGCAACAGCTGGGCTGAACATTTGAAGCAAAGAAACAACTGATGCAACTTCAAATCACCTTGAAAGGATCAAAAGTGAAGAGGGAACAGAATGGTTAAGTGACAGATCCAACCAATCACGAAGCTGCAAGTGAGTTGGCAACAAAATAAGAACACCAGACTCTAGTCTAGTCTAAAACTTAGCATCTAATCAGGAATTTAGATTTATGGTTTATTTCAAATCACAGTGTTTAAAACCATCAAACAATTTTCCCTTTTCAAGTTTCAACTGCTTCCAGAAAAAGAAAAGAAAATGGTGTAAAAGAAAAGTACCAATCGCAAACCCTTCAGGGTTACAAATACAAATATAATCAATCAAATCCCATCGATCATTTTACAACAAATTATCAAAAGCAACTTATATGCAAAATGGTCAGGACCAAGGAACCTGTTGCCGCATTTCTTCTACTGAGAGCAACCCAAGCATGCCCCTCTCCCGACAATCTTCACGAAGCTCAGATTCAGAAAGGGACTCTACCCCCTCTGCTTGTATTAATTTATCATCTTCCTTTATCCTGCAGAAAAACAAATTAGACACAAATTAACACAATTTTTCCAGTAGATACATTTTTCCTCTAATAATTCTAACACTGTCGTTAAGATTTTAATTCAGTTCCATTTTTTATTTTTATTGTGGGGGGGGGGGGGGGGG